GACCAAGTGGATTTTATTCCTGGGCTGCAAGGTGGTTCAACATCCACAAATCAATCAACATGATACATCACATTAATAGAAGAAAGGACAAGAACCATATGATCCTCTCAATAGACGCAGAAAAAGCATTTGACAAAGAAGTATCCTTTCTTGATTAAAACTCCTCATAGTGTAGGGATAGAAGGAACACACCTCAATATCATAAAAGCCATATACAAAAAGCCCACAGTGAATATCATTCTCAATGGGGAAAACTGAGAGCTTTTCCCCTAAGGTCAGGAACATGACCGGGATGTCCATTCTCACCTTCATGCAACATAGTACTAGAAGTCCTAGCCTCAGCAATCAGGCAACAAAAAGAAATAAAAGGCATCTGAATTAGCAAAGAAGTCAAACTCTCACTCTTTGCAGATGACATGATACTCTATGTGGAAAACCCAAAAGACTCCTCCCCAGAATTGCTAAAACTCATACAGGAATTCAGCAACATGGCAGAATATAAAATCAATGCACAGAAATCAGTTGCATTTCTATACACTAACAATGAGACAGAAGAAAGAGAAATTAAGGAGTTGATCCCATTTACAATTGCACCCAAAACCATAAGATACCCAGGAATAAACCTGATCAAAGAGGCAAAGGATTTGTACTCAGAAAACTATAGAATACTCACAAAAGAAATTGAGGAAGACACAAAGAAATGGAAAAATGTTCCATGCTCATGGATTGGAAGAACAAATATTGTTAAAATGTCTCTGCTACCTAGAGCAATCTATACATTCAATGCAATCCCTATCAAAGTACTATCAACTTTTTTCACAGAGCTGGAACAAATAATCCTAAAATTTATATGGAACCAAAAAAGATCCTGAATAGCCAAAGGAATGTTGAAAAAGAAAAGCAAAGCCAGTGGCATCACAATTCCGGACTTCAATCTATATTACAAAGCTGTAATTGTCAAGGTAGTATGGTACTGGCACAAAAACAGACAGATCAATGGAACAGAGAACCCAGAAATGGACCCTCAACTCTATGGTCAACTAATCTTCGACAAAGCAGGAAAGAATATCGAATGGAAAAAAGACAGTCTCTTCAACAAATGGTGTTGGGAAAATCGGACAGCCACATCCAGAAGAATGAAACTGGACCATTTTCTTATACAATACACAAAAATACACGCAAAATGGATGAAAGACCTAAACCTGAGACAGGAACCCATCAAAATGCTAGGGGAGAACACAGGCAGCAATTTCTGTGATCTCAGCTGCAGCAACTTCTTGCTAGACACATCTCCAAAGGCAAGGGAAACAAAAGCAAAAATGAACTATTGGGACTTCAGATAAAAAGCTTTTGCACAGCAAAGGAAACAGTCAACAAAACCAAAAGGCAATTGACAGAATGGGAAAAGATATTTGCAAATGACATATCAGATAAAGAGCTAGTATCCAAACTCTATAAAGAACTTATCAAACTCAACACCCAAAGAACAAATAATCCAATCAAGAAATGGGCAGAAGACATGAACAGACATTTCTTCAAAGACATCCAAATGGCCAACAGACACATGAACAAACGCTCCACATCACTCGGCATCAGGGAAATACAGATCAAAACTGCAATGAGATACCTCCTCACACCAGTCAGAATGGCTAAAATTAACAAGTCAGGGGGCGCCTGGGTGGCTCAGTTGGTTAAGCGACTGCCTTGGGCTCAGGTCATGATCCTGGAGTCCCGGGATCGAGTCCCACATCGGGCTTCCTGCTCAGCAGGGAGTCTGCTTCTCCCTCTGACCCTCTTCCCTCTCGTGCTTTCTATCTCTCATTCTCTCTCTCTCTCAAATAAATAAAAAATAAAATCTTTAAAATTAACAAGTCAGGAAACAATGGATGTTGGCGGGGATGCAGAGAAAGGGGAACCCTCCTACACTATTGGTGGGAATGCAAGCTGGTGCAGCCGCTCTGGAAAACAATATGGAGGTTCCTCATAAAGTTGAAAATAGAGCTACCCTATGACCCAGCAATTGCACTACTGGGTATTTACTCCAAAGATACAAATGTAGTGATCCGAAGGGGCACCTGTACCCCAATGTTTATAGCAGCAATGTCCACAATAGACAAACTGTGGAAAGAGCCGAGATGTCCATTGACAGATAAATGGCTAAATAAGCTGTGGTATATATATACAATGGAATACTACTCAGCCACGAAGAAAACAAAATCTTGCTATTTGCAATGACGTAGATGGAACTAGAGGGTATTATGCTAAGCGAAATAAGTCAATCAGAGAAAGACAATTATCATATGATCTCACTTATATACGGAATTTAAGAAATAAAACAAGATCATAAGGGAAGGGAGGGAAAAATAAAAGAAGAAGACATCAGAGAGGGAGACAAACCATAAGAAACTCTTAATCATAGGAAACAAACAGGGTTGCTGGAAGGGAGAGGGGTGGGGGGATGGGGTAACTGGGTGATGGACATTAAGGAGGGCACGTGATGTAATGAGCACTGGGTGTTATATAAGACTGATAAAACACTGACCTCTACCTCTGAAACTAATAATACACTCTATGTTAATTAAATGAATTTAAATAAAAATTTTTTTAAAGATTGTATTTATTTATTTGAGAGAGAGAATGAGATAGAGAGAGCATGAGAGGGGGGAGGGTCAGAGGGAGAAGGAGACTCCCTGCTGAGCAGGGAGCCCGATGTGGGACTCAATCCCGGGAATCCAGAATCATGACCTGAGCCCAAGGCAGTCGCTTAACCGACTGAGCCACCCAGGCGCCCCTAAATAAAAAATTTTTTTAAAAAAGGTTTTTTTCACAAAAAATTTATTTATGTTTGAAAATATTGATTTATTTAAAATAGTAAAAACCTACTACAGGTTAACATAAATAACAAAAACAAAAGCTCTTTGGGGTCCTCCATTTTTAGAGTATAAAGAAGTCTGAGACTAAAATGTCTGAAACTCACTGACTTAGGGAAGTTAAAACTTGCCCAGTGTTCATACGTTAGTGATGTGTGGTGTAAGTGGTGTAAGTGGTGGACCCAAGAGTTAAACCCAGGCAGCCTGACTTCCCAAGTCAGTTCTCATCATGAATTTTTTGATGCAGAGCTCCAAAAATATCTCTTACCTCTGAGAAACTGGGAGTAGATCACATCAGGGTTAGGGAATTCCAGGTAGGGAAGCAGAAAGGAGGTGCTCCTTGTTTTCCCTGATTATGCTTGCAAGAGCCTTAGCACTGAATGCTATTCCAGTTATGGACGCAAAGGCCCCTGCAGCCCTTCCCTGAGGCAGATGAAACTTCTTTCCCTTTAAATTGTGAATAAAAAGATGACCCAGTCCTGCCTTGTTTACGCATCCCTCACATTTCAAATTTTTTTTTTTTTTTGCCACAACCCATAGAAATAAGGGACTTTTACCTCCAATGCAGTAGACGCTTTCATAAGTATACATAAACCTGAAACAAAAGCTTCATGAAATAATATCTTTACCACATATAATTTTAATGTTGTTTCATTAAAAAAAAAGCCTGTCATAATTTATTAAACTGATTTTACAACCACCTGCAGTTTAAAAAATTGCAATCCTAGAGGACTTCTCTAGGATGGAATAGATCTAGGGCTGAGACTCGTTAATAGAGGCAGTTCTCAACCAAGGATCAGAATCTTTCCAACTGACGCTCACGCATTACTTGGTTATTTGAAATTTGGAACATTTCCCATGAAACAAGGTGGTTGGGAAGGGAGGTGGCATTTACTGAGGTTATATTACATACATTATCTCATATATTACTCCAACAAATGACCCTGACAGGAAGAAAATATTCCACTACACAGATGGAAAAAGTGAGGCTCAGAGGCTAATAACTTACTAATGTAGTAGAATTGCTACTTGACCCCAGGTCATTTGAGTCCAAAAACTGTGCTCTTTGTAGTATACTACAGCATTTTATAGGTTTATAATAGCTCACTCCAAACCCCAACTCCTCCAAAAAAACAAAACCAAATAATCCCCATTCAACCCAAATTTGGCAGGACACCATAGACTCTAATTACAATTTATGGGGATAATCTTTGTAGAGCGTATCCTTAGTTATAACTTGGGCTCTCAAGAACACATTCTCCACAGTGGTAGCAAGTTACTCATACCCCATTAATGGCCCAGTTTACTCCTAAAACAAGCCACAGCAATGGGAACAGAATTCTCAGTGACTTCTGAGGCAGCAGGGAGACAAAGAGGAGATGGGGATGGCTTGAGATATTCCCAACACCCGTAGGGAAAATACGGGCATTTCTAGGGTAGAGAGTAAAGGAGGTAGCAGCCCTGAGAGTGCTACCTCATTTCCATACATATTCTGCTTTCTGACACCCTTCTCCCTACTCAGGAATATCTGGAAATGAAATATCCTGAAAGAACAAGTTCTGCTTTTGCTCAGCCTTAACTCTTTTATCGTGAAAGCTGAAGTATGACCCACCATTCCTGATACGAATGTCTGAGGCAGAAACTTTACACTTTGATACTTAAAGATCGCAGGTGCATGGATGGGTAGGCAAATGGTTCTTGAGGAACCCGTCTGGGTATTCCTATCAGCAACCAACTTCCAGGCCTGATAAAGTAGCTCCTGGAATGAAAAGTGAAAAGCACCCGCACGCGTCTCCGCGCTGGTACCAGCCTGCGGCCAGCTGTCCGTCACAAGGTGAGAGGAATCCTAGCTGCAGGCCTCTGCCCTGAGTACCGGCTCATCGGGGAATCGAGGCTCCCATATTTACACCCATGAGGCGGAAGACCTCGGGGCTGCTGGGTTTGCCGAGCTTCGGCCCCTGGAAGAACGAGAACTGGAAACGCTCACGTTTTCTCACGTCCTCCCTCCCACTCCCTCCTGAAGGAGAAAGGGTTCCCTCTGCTCACCCCAACTTGTCTTACCTATTACATTCTTTCCGACTCCGTTTTCTACGGCTAGGCACCCCGAGCTAAAGTCTGAGCAAACGAACATTTTATTAGCCTTTTATTTATATTTTTGGAGAGGAGCTACAGTTTCACGAGAAACACTGATTTTTCTCAAACAATAGAAAAAGCTTAAAAAAAAATGTATCGTCTTAGAAGAACAAAACAAGTCTCTTCAGCAAGCATTGGGCCAATTCAGACTGAAGGAACCAGTGAAGCAGAAGGGACGTACGGGAAGTTCAGATTTATCCAGTTTCAGGAACAATGCAAACAGCTTCTTGTCTAGTTCTGTAAGGTTCCAAGTGGACCATCTCAGCGAAACGGTGACGAAGCTGAGAAAGCCAGCCTCCGAGGCCCCATCTGGCTCCTGCACGGGGCGGCTCACTCTGCAGGAGGCTGCATCTGTTTACAGAACTCATCGAACTGCCGCTGCTCCAGCTCCGTCATGACTCTGTTGAGGGCATAGATCTGAAGGGGAGAAAAAGAGCCGTTAGCGGGGGAGGCAGCTGCCCCACCTGTCCTCGGACGCCACCGACGCCACAGGCCGTGGCGTTTGGAAATGCCAGTAATGCAGCAGGAGGGAACCACTTCCACCTGGAGAATCGGGAGAGACGCAGTGGCTCGATCTGGCTTTTACAGGGTCTGGAGGATTTGAACAAGTAGAGACTGGGGAAGGGCCACGAGAGGTGATGGCCAGGGGGCAGTATGATGAAACAAACATAACGGGAAGGTACAGGATGACTTCTGGAAATTTCAACGAGGCCAGTATGAAGGATATTATAGAGTTTGGGGAGCTGCAGAAAGTGACAAGTGTGTTGGAGCCTTACATGCCATGCCTCGGCCTCTGGACTTTGGCCAGACTCTGGAGAGCCAGTGAGATTAGTGTGCAGGGAAGCAACCTGATGATATCTCTGCTTTGGGAAAGATACCTGGAGACCATGTGAGGGATAAAGTAGAAGAAGAGATTAGGGGCCACTTACAGGCATCATTACAATAGTCCGGGGAGGAGGTGGCAAGAATATGACGTAGGGTAGGCAGTGGGGATGGAATGAAAGCTGCAAGAGATTCTCAGGTGAAAGGTGGGGTATCAACCTCATTCCTCACCTTTCCTTATCCTTGTGGTATCAATCTGTCCACTAAAGAGCAGAAACATCAGAAAACTTTCCAATTTGTAGAAGGGAAAAATGAAGGAGTGTGTTTGTGTGTAGGTGATACAACTTGATTCATTTAAGAAAAGACAAGAAAGGGGGAAAAAAAGAAACTGAGAAGGGAGACAAATAGAAAACAGAAAATAAAGAGCAGAAAAGGCAACCAAATGTGCGAGGATCACCAACACTGTGAGATGGTTCTTTGAAAATAGTAGAGAAAATCCTGCAAGTCTCTGACATGACTCAGCAAGATAAAAAGGGGTTGACATAAGCAAACATTATTAGAATCAAAAAGGAAACATAATTACTGATATAATGGAGATTAAATGAAAATATTATGAACTTTGTGTCAATAAGTTTGAAAACGTAAATGAAATAAATTGCTAGAATGAGTAAAATGATCAAAACTGACTAAATAGAAAGTTTGAATGATCCTATAATCTTTTCCACCCCATTTTTTTTTTACTGTGGTAAGATCCTATAATCTTTAAGGAAAAGGCGATTCCACAGTGATGAAAACAATTAATAAATCAACAACACAAATGATTCTCAAAAAGCATAATATTGATGGTTAAAATGGTTAACTTTTCTGTTATGTCTATTTTACCACAATGAAAACAAATAAATAAATAGATCTGAATAGTTTAAAAAAAGAAAAGAAGCTGAGTGAAGAGAGCCAGTCACAGAATGTAGTAACATATAAATTCAGAAACGTGCACAACTATTTATTTGAGAGAGAGAGAGAGTGAAGGTGAGAGAGAGCAGGAGTTGGGGGGTAGAGGGAGAGAGAGAAGCAGGCTCCCCGCAGAGCAGGGAGCCCAACATGGGGCTCGATCCCAGGACCCTGGGATCATGACCAAAGCCACAGGCAGACGCCCAACCTATCGAGGCACCCCAGAAACATGCACAAGTAGACAGTATATTGTTGGGCTACAAAATATTATTTGGGGGTACACAGAGAAATACTAAACTAGTGCAGAACAGCAAGGGCATGATCAGCATTAAAATCAAGGAATGATGGCACTGCTGGTGGGAAGGGTTGGGGACAGGACCAGAGTGGGGCCCGAGGAGCTTCCAAGTTACTGGTCACATTCTATTTCTTTAGTTGGGTGGTAGACACGGGGTGTTGGTTTTATTCTTCTTTAACTGTACACATCATATATATGTGAATACACTTCTAATATATATACATTTGAACCTCTGCTTCATCCATTCGTGCTTTAACGAGCATTTTAATCTGCATGTGACTGAGCTGGGGACTGAGAGGGCTATTAAGTAGCTCCTTGGGGACCTCTAGATCCAGAAGGCAGACTGGTGGAAGGGAAAATAGAATAAGCAGAGAAAGAAGAGACTCAAAATGGGTCAGCAGGCCCAAGCCAAGGAACAAAGACTTTCAGGAAGGAAAGGGTGGCCAACTGTGTCAAATGCGGCTTCCCAGCCACATGAGCCCTCTCTTCCATTTACTCGTCACGACGCTCCCTCACATCTTTCTGGAATGCGGCGGCTCTGTAGAACTGAATGGAAACTGTGTCTCTTCCTCCCCACGAGGGTCTTGTCACATTCCTATCTTAGGAGATTACATTCCAGGCAGCACAGATAGAGCCAACAGCAGGGTGCTTGTAGGGCAGAGCAAAAAGCAGGAGCCCAAGGTCAGCTGTGTTGAGCTCGCAGTCTGCCCCTCAATCCCTGAGTAACGAGAGGGTCTGTGCTTTCAAGTGAGGATAATACCTTCTACGTCACAAAGTCACCTATTTTATATTTACATCTCCCTGCCTTATGCCAGCCGGGATTTACAAAGGTCGGGATGGGAGGAGCAACGATAAGCTCTCATGTGAGGTTACCCGTGGTCAAGCACGTGCAGGCTGGCCCTGGGCCTGGTGGTATTCCATCGCAATATTCCAATACTGAGGTCCAATATTCCATTTTGGCACGACACCAACAAGGCGATCAGTCCTTCCACTGGGAGTCCGCACAATAAAAGCAGGCCACCTGCTGGGAAGCACATGGTTCCTGCTGCCTTTTACTGAGGGCTTTGTCCGTGCCAGGCACTGTGCTGAGTGCTTTACACACCACATTTCTGTTCCTCGTAACAATCCTGTGAGGTAGATATCATCGCCCTCGTTTTTCAAGGGGGAACTGAGGCACTGAAGTGTAGGGAGGTGAAGCATCCTCTCCAAGGTCCCATGGGAAGAACTGGGGCTCATGCTGAGCTGGAATTTGGAGTCGGACCAATAAAATCTAACCTGTGGAACCTTACCAGAAGGATGTCAATAAGGGCACGAAGAAAGCCCTCCACATCTATCCCTACAGTGTGCACAAAGGACAGTTTCCTCAGGCTGTTCCTTACAACAACCCTCCAACTGTTCCCCAAAGCACAATGCAGTACAATTATCTGGGGGCCTGGATCCAGGTGGCAATGGGGAGGTAAAGGGGAGAATAATTTGTTAGAATCCACGTCTACAACTCTCAAATGGTCTTTTTTTTAATTAAAGATTTTATTTATTTGATAGAGAAAGACAGCAAGAGAGGGAACACAAGCAGGGGGAGTGGGAGAGGGAGAAGCAGGCTTCCCGCCGAGCAGGGAGCCTGACCTGGAGCTCGACCCCAGGACCCTGGGATCATGACCCAAGCTGAAGGCAGACGCTTAATGACTGAGCCACCCAGGCGCTCCTCAGATGGTCTGTCTTAATCCAAAGGTGGATTTCAGTTTATAGATTAACTTTGAACACACTATTCAATTTACTTATACTGACTGTCTGCCTCTCGCACTAAACGCAATCTCCATGAAGGCAGGGATTCTTCTCTGCCTTGTCCACTCGTGTATCTCAAGCTCCTGCAACAGTGTGGGGCACATAGCAGCTCGGTATTTAACGAATGGATCAAATCAACACAAATTTAATGTTGTGGAAAAGAAGTGAGGAATGAGAACTCTCTCACACTTGGTGATGGGAGTAAACACTTGTACAATCTGTTTGACAGCAATCTGGCAATGTCTAGTAAAACTGAAATACACACTGTAATTCTACTTCTAGTCTATATGCTCTACAGAAATTCTAGCACACGTGCCAAAGGAGACATCTAAGTTTTTCACTACAGCAATGTTTGTAGGAGCAAAAAACCTATAAGTAATTTAAATGTTCATCAATGGAGGAATGGGTAAATATACTAAAGTGGATTCATAAAATGGACTACCGTATCTCTCTCTCTTTCCACCCCCCATGCTCATTTGTTTTGTTTCTTAAACCGAGAAACAGATTCTTGAATACAGAGAACAAACCAATGGTTACCAGAGGGTAGGTGGGTGGGGGGATGGGTGTGATGGGTGATAAACACTAGGTTTTGTATGGAAGTGTTGAATCACTATATTGTACACCTAAAACTAATATTACACTGTATTTTAACTACCGGAATTTAAATGAAAACTTAAAAAATAAAAATAAAATTGGGGTGCCCGGCTGGCTCAGTAAGTTAAGCATCTGACTTTGGCTCGAGTCATGATCTTGGGGTCCTGGGATGGAACCCTGCATGGGGTTCCCCGCTCAGGGGCGGGGTGGGGAGTCTGCTTCTCCCTCTACCTCTGCCCCTCCCCCTGCTCATGCTCTCTCAAATAAAATCTTTAAAAATAAAAAAAAATAAAATAGACTACTGTAAGCAGTGATGAGGAATAAACTAGATTATATTAACATGAATAGTTCTAAACATAATGTAAGCAAAATGTAAAATAAAACAGAATTTTATTAATGTAAAATTTTAAAACACAAAAGAATATTGTATATTACTCAAGGATATCTATTAATATATCTAAGTGTAAAAGCATAAAAAATTATAGTGGATGCCCATAGAGAGGGAAAAAGGGTATAAGATAGGAAATGGACAAAGAGGACTTTAAATTCATATGCAATTTTTATTTATCTAAAAGGCTCCAGGCGAATATGACAAAATATTAACGACTACCAGTATGGAGTGCTGAGTACGCAGGTGTTTGTTTTAATATTTTGTTTTTCTGTATTTTTAAATTTCTCAAAAAAGAAACAAATACAATGCCTAGAAAGAGGGAAGAATTTGCAGCAAGCTTTCTTCTGATATTAAATACTAAAATAAAAATACATGTCTGGATGTGGTTCCACATAGGTAGTGTGAACAGTTTAGCTTTTCATTCTCAACCTGATTCTAAGTGTTGATGGAACAAAGAAATACATTCGGTGGATGTAGAGCTTGGGCCTCTACTTCTGGTTCTGAGCAGCTACTCTCTAGGCCAAAGCCTAAACATCTGTGCTAGGGGGTGTCCAATACTTGTCTCTTGCTGACCCCTCCCTAACATGTCCCTTCTCTTTTTCCTTTCTTTCTTCCACAAAAGCTCTGCACCAGGAGTCATCTGAAGATGGTTAGGGTTCTGACACTAACCTGGCATGTGACTCTGGGCTGCCACTTCATCATTCTGGACCTCAATGATGTCCTCTTAGGAGAACAGCTGTTTTGCCTAGAGGCAAATAGCACTCCCCCTCACAGCTCTCCTCTCTATTCCAGCATCATCTACAGCAGACTACAGGTATACAGGCCTCCTCCTTAATCTCACCTCTGCTCTTTGTCTTTGCTTCAGCTCCTGCTGGGCTGATTTCTGCTTGGCCTTCTCAACTCTGCTGACAGGTTCTTTAACTTTGGATTTTTCTTTACGGGTAGGTTGATCCATGACTTGACTTCTGAACACTTCTTAGCTCTGACCTGGATGGTGCGGAAGAGACTGCCTGATTAACAAAAGAAAGAAAGGAAAGAAAAGAAAAAAGAATTTGCAGTCACTGCCTTAACTAATATCCAAGTTCAGCACCCTCCTTTGACAGGTGAGGCAGAGTGGCCCCGTGGAAAGAGCGCTGGATTTGGCGGACTAAGACCGAACCCACCGCCATGACCTTGCTGGGTGTCTCTGGGCAAATTGTTATAATATCTATTTTTCTGAAATTAAAAAAATAATTCTGTATTTTTAAATTTCTTTAAAAAAAAAGCAAGAAAGAATAAAACTAATAGAAGGAAGGAAGGCAGCGCAGCAAACTTTCTCTTGATATTAAATACTTAAATACTTAAATAAAATCCCCTCTCCACTCTGAGCCGTAGTTTCGTGTGTGCAAAATGGGACAACAACCCCTTCCCTGGCGCGAGGAGCAAGCGAGAGGGCCTGTGACACGTTCCTACACTGCAGCGCGTTGTTCTAACTGCGAGGCCACCGCGGCCCGGCGGGGCGAGCCAGTCCCAGCCTCGGAGCGGGGCGGCGGGGAGGCCCGGGCCTCGCGCTGTCTCAGAGCCAGGGCCTTCCCACCTCTGGCCGGCCGGACAGTTACGGCCCCGCTCGGTCGCAGGGCCGCCGCCCCGCCCGGGCCCGCCCTCCGCCACCGCCCTCCGCCACCGCCCGCCCCGGGCCCAAGCCCGGCCCCAGGAGACGCTCCCCCGCCCGCCGCTGCCCTCTCCGGCTGCAAGATGGCGGCGGGCGACGGTCAGCAGTCGGCGCCGGCCCTCCCCGTCTCGGGACTCCGGGACTCCGCCGCGTCGCCGGCAAGGACCCACGTGGGACACCCCGGCCTTCCCCTACCTCCCGGCCTGGAGTCGCGAGCCAGCCGCGCCTCGGATTGGGCGGGGCCGGGGCGGAGACCTGGAGGCGGGGCCGGGAGGCGGGGCGGTGGAGACCGGCGCGCTCTGTGGCCCCCGCCCCCTGAGAGGCCCGCGCGTGCGCAGAGAGCATTTCCCGAGCGTGGGCTCTGGGACGGGGGAGCTTTGAACAATACCTTCCCGGGAATATTTTCTGGGGCAGCTGCTAGGCTTTGAAGGGTGAGATCTGAAACCTGGGACGAGAATTGTAACTTTCTGGGCCTCAGTTTCTTCATTTGAAAAGTGGGGATGGTGATTTGCGCCTTCTTGATTTACGAGCTTGTTAGGAAGACCAAGTGAGGTCCTGCTGGCCACAGTGTTTTGAAGAAGGAAGTCAGGACAAACGTAAATAATCAATATTAAGTATAGAGAAATGTTCAAGCTCACTGATAATACATCATTTTACAATTACAGTTGTTTTACAATTACAATTTTACAATTATTTATAATAATTTTACAAATTAAAATAGCTGGCTATCGTTTTTCATTTATTAGAACAGGATTGAAGGAAATAGTAGGTAAATGCTTGGACAACAGAAATCTTGTTCAGTCTAATAATAATAACAATAATAACAGCTACCTCTCTTCGGGGCTTATGATACTCCACACACCGTTCTTAGAGCTTCACATTTATTAACTCATTTATTCCTGTTGATAAATGCGTACAGTAATGTACATGTAGAGTGACATGTTATCATCACCATGGTACAGATAAGGGAACAGAGGCACGGAGAAGTTAAGTGACTTGTCCATGGTTACACAGCTAGTAAGTACCGCAGCAAGTACTTCAGCCAGGATTCAGGATAGGACAATGGCCTCTCCAGAGGAACACATGTCCTCCAGATCCCTGCTTCTGTTCCTCTAAGAGTTAGGCAAGAATTGAAACAATTGATGGATGCTGAGCAGGAAGTTGTTCAATGGATATGGAGTTTCCGTTTTGTAAGATGAAAAAGTCCTAAAGATCTTTTGCACAAGAATGTGCATATATTTAATACCACTGTACTGTACACTTAAATGAGGTGGGAAATTTATATTATGTTTTTTTTTTACCATAATAATTAAAAAAGCACAACCTTTGACTCAGCAATTCCACTTCTAAGTTATCCTAACTAGATAATCAGAGATAGCACTATTCTTAAGAGTAAGAAACTGGGGGGGCACCTGGGTGGCTCTGTCCGTTAAGCCTCTGCCTTGGGCTCAGGTCATGATCCCAGGGTCCTGGGATCGAGCCCCACATCGGGCTGGTGCTCAGTGGGGAGTCTGCTTCTCCTTCTCCCTCTGCCCCTATCCCCTGCTAGTGCTCTTTTGCTCTCTCTCTCCCTAAAATAAGTAAAATTTTTTAAAAAAGTAAAAAACTGGAAACAATCAAAATAATTGTAACAGGGGTTGATTAAATAAACAATAGGATGGCTGGCATGGGATTCCATGCAGCCATTAAAATGACATAGAAGAATATTTATTGACATAAACTATCTTTATTAAATGAAAAAGTTACAAAGAGGAACATACAACATAATCACAGTAATCACAGTATTTGTTTCAAAAAAGATTATTCTATACATATGGGAAAGAGGCTTATGAAAACACACCAAAACATAAATCCAGATTATTTTGAGAGTAGAGGGGATTTTTTTTTCTTTTTTTTGGAGAGAGAGCTCACGGTCAGGAGCAGGCACAGAAGAAAAGGGAGAGAATCTTAAGCAGGCTCCACACCCAGAGTGGAACCCAAAGAAGAGCTCGATCTCACAACCCTGAGATCATGACCTGAGCCAAAATCAAGAGTCAAATGCCTTAACTGACTGAGCCACCCAGGCGCCCCAAGAGTAGAGGGGATTTTTACCTTCTTTGTGATTTTCTTTATTTTGCAAAATTTCTACTTATACTTATACTTTAGCAAGATTTATACTTATACTTTAGCAAGAACACTTATACTTTAGCAAGATTTATACTTTCTTTTAAAGAGAAGAAAGTCTAACAAATGTTATTGTAAACTTCTATATTAATTTTGGTTGGATTATTGTTAATAATAAACGTGGCCAGATTAGATTGGACTATATTACAGCTGGAAACAGGGCAGGGACCTTTGGAAAGCTTTAGAAAGCCAACTAAAACAGACTGGATATAGGGTATGAAGGAGTGGAAAAGCCAAAGAATGTTGGAAAAATAGAGGAGACACTGATAAAAAAGAAGGTATGCTGAGTTGGCTTGGGAAAGGATTGAAGAAGAGGGTAAGTCAGAGGGGTGTGTGTGCATGTGGGTGTAAGAGAGAGTTAGTTTAAATTTAGAGGGTGCAAGAAGAGTTGTCTAGCTCCAGAAAGGTACAGGTGTGGAGACACTGGTTTGGAACGCTTCATCAGGAAAGTGAGGCTGGAGTCTGGAGGGAGTGAAAGTCCCCTCCTTGTTCTTCCTCTATGAGTTTATGATTTCTATCTATCCATCTACCTACCTGTCTTTCTGTCTTTTTGTGACCATCAACAGACTTGACCAATGTGCACAATTCCCTAGTTGGCTGAGCCAGAGTTTACATTAACATAACTATGGAATATTTTTACAATTGAGCTGTACACCAGACTGATTACTTTTCACTTTATTGAACAACCCTTCTCTCCTGGAGTCAAAAATTGCCTTTTTTTTTTTCATTCACTTAATTATGCATCTATTGTTAATTCTTCCCCCAAATTCTCCATCTGGACTATAAAACATCTCTTGATCTGGTCATGTGAATCTGGTGATCTCTCAGTGTCTTTTTTTTTTTTTCTTGGAGACATCCTTCCTCGGGCCCATCCTCCTCTCTCCAAATTGTCATCTTGGCCTCACGGTCCAACTATTGTCCTAGGATTTCCCCTAACCACATTCTGGGGATTCCCATCTCTACTCTCCGGTGCCAAATCCCCTGATCATCCATTTGTGGTTTATTCTCTCATTTCAGAAGAGCGCATTCTCCAGTAACCTCCCCAGAAGGGGTTCACGGGAAGTAAATTTTTGTCTAAAAATGGCTTTATTTTCTCTCACACTTGACAGTTTGGCAGGATACGGATTTCCAGATTGGAAATCATATTCTCTCAGAATTTTAAAAGCATTGATCCATTGTCCTTTAGCTTCTCATGTGGCTAGACTCTGGAGAAGTCTGATTTATTCTGATTTCCATCATGTCCTATGTAATTTTTTTTGTGAGCTTGTTTTCTGGAATTTTTTAGGATATATATTTTTCCTTCATCTTTGGCGCTCCAAATCTTCATAATGATGTGTCCTGGTAAGTCTTTTTCATTCATTGTGCTAGGCACTCAGGAAATGTATAGGCTTTGGGGAGACTTTCTCTGTGATAGATTTTCTTCTTTTTAAAATCTTTTCTTTCTCATTTTCCATCTCTTGGTTTTGTTTATTCTACTTTGTCAGAGATTTTCCTGAACTTTATCCTCTAGTTCTTCTGTTGAATGTTTTAGTTTCTGCTATAAAATTTTAATTTCCAAGACTTTTTCCTGGTTCCTTGGCTTTCCTTTTGGTAACCTCTTGCTTTGTGTTGTGGATTCAGGACCTTCTCTTCTTTCATATTTCTGAGGACATCAATTGTGATTTTCTGCCATTTTTCTTTTACCTCCTAGATTGTCTTTGTTGTTTATTTATTTATTTATTTATTAAGATTTTATTTATTCATTTGACAGAGAGAGAGACAGCAAGAGAGGGAACACAAGCAGGGGGAGTGGGAGAAGGAGAAGCAGGCTTCCCACTGAGCAGGGAGCCCGATGCGGGGCTCAATCCCAGGACCCTGGGATCATGACCTGAGCCAAAGGCAGATGCCCAATGACTGAACCACCCAGGCACCCTGTCTTTGTTGTTTATTTTAGTCTCTGGCTTTGGCTTTGAAGTTGGAGGCTTTCCTCAAGTAATGATAACAGCTACCATATATTGGGTGTCAAGCACTGTTCTGAGTATTTTACATGTTTTAACTAATTTAATCCTTATGCTACTCTAATGAGGTAGTTACCATTCTTACCGGTAAGGAAACCGAGACACAGAAAGGTGAGGCTCTCACCCAACTCACGGAGCTTAGAAGTGAACCTGAATCTAATCAAACCTCTAGCTTTCCAATTCAGCAGAAATATGAGGGATAGAGAAATAAATTAAGTGATACCACTCAAAAGCAATCAGCCAAATCCAGAATGTAGGACATTGTACAAGACAAATTTCTAAGTTTTACCAACAATCAAGAATATAAAGAAAATTTTAAAAGAAGGACAGAGGGACACTTTAGAAACTTAACAACAAAATGTAATAATGTGTATCTTGCTTGGATCCAGATTTGAACAAACCACGTGTAAAAAGACATGTTTGACACTGAAAATGTGTGAACGTAGACTGTATATCAAATAATATCAAGGGATTATTGCCAGTTTTGAGAGGTGTAGGGGTAGCGGGATGTATGTAGCTGGGTGTGTGTTTATGTGTACCTTAAAAATTACTGAGGACCCTAAGGAGCTTCAGCTTATAAGGGTTATATTTTTTGAAATTTGCCATTGTAGAAATTAAAGTAAGAAGTTTTAAATATAATTATTACTTCACTTAAAGACAATAATAGGGGGGTGGGGGGATGGGGTAACTGGGTGACAGGCATTAAGGAGGGCACGTGATGTAATGAGCCCTGGATGTTATATAAGACTGATGAATCGGGGTGCCTGGTTGGCTCAGTCAGTTAAGCATCTGCCTTCAGCTCAGGTCATGATCCCAGGGTCCTGGGATCGAGTCCTACATCAGGCTCCCAGCAGGGAGCCCACTTCTCCCTCCCCGCTTGTACTCTCTCACTGTCTCTCCTCTCACTTTCAAATAAATGAAATCTTTAAAAAAAAAAAGACTGATGAATCACTGACCTCTACCTCTGAAACTAATAATACACTCTATGTTAATTAATTGAATTTAAATAAAAATTTTTTAAAAGGCAATAATACACATAAACACTTATGTTAACATAAACATATGTAAACATAAACACGACATAAACATAACAAATACACATGTTAACATAACACGTTTTATGAAAAACAACTATTTTCTGAAACAAAAAAATTAGTGAGAAGAGTGGCA